CGGGCCCGGGGGAGGTGAGGCGGGGCCGGGGAAGGCGGAGGCGGCTGTGCTGCGCTGCGGCCGCGAGGTGGGGCTGTAGGTAAAGCAGCACCACCGAGGACACCTCTATTAATTACGTTTTACCTAATGAGCCCTAAATCACATAAAAAACTTGCATATTAACCCCCCCCCCCCGCCTTCACAACTAGAAATGATAGAATCATTGAATTGTAGACTGGTTTGGGTTGGAAGGGACCTTAAAGATCAGCTCATTCCAACTGAATTCCAGCCCTGTTGGGCAGGGATGCCTTCCACTAGCACAGGTAAGTAAATCTGCAAGTAAAAATGGCAACAGTGGCTACAGCTCAATAGTTACTGTATTTTTAGCAATGGTGCTGAATATTGCTTAATTCCCTAGAAGAAATGTGTGTTTGAATTATTTTTTAGTTGCAGTTGTGGCATGGAAGGCACTGGACTGCATTGCTGAACTGTCAGACACACAGCATCAGTCAGTGTTACCAGAGTTTTAAATTCTATCGTTCCCTAATGGGGTCGGTGGTGGTGTCTCATTCCCTGGCAAGTGACATGGCTTTCTTTGAGCAGCCACGTACAAATCAAACGTATGGCTCTACCACCATCCAAATCAAACACCATGCCTGCCCAGCCTTGCTGATCTCTTCTTTCAGCTATCAGTAGAAAAAAGATTGTTTAAGGCCAGCTGGATGGAGCTCTGAGCAACGTGATCTAGAGAAGGTGTCCCTGCCCTGGTCAGGGGCTCAGGATCACTATGTGATCTTTAAGGTCCCTTCCAATTCAAGCCCTTCTATGATTTAATTTAACTGCTTTCAATTCAGCTTAAATGAATAGTGCTTGCCTTAACCAGGGTAGATCTTTCTGGCAGCTAATAACACTTTCCAGAACAATAATGGAAATAGAGGAAGTTAAGAATCAGGTTAGATTCTCCCAAATGCCCTTAAAGATTCAAAGGAATTTTTGTCTCTAAATACCATGTGTTTTCTTGCCATGTTGTAACTTCCAGTCTAAAGATGAATCCTTGCTTCAGTGTTAAATTCACAGAGATGAATTATGTATCACCTTATCAGCCTTATAAATAAAGGCTCATTTGCATGGAGTCCCAGAAGAGAAGGAAATCAGCTCTAAAGTGGAGCTGACTTTTAGTGAGTCCACTTTTAGTGGACCTCACTGTGCGCAGCAATAGATGGTGGCAGGAGAGGGAAACAGACAAATAATAGATGGCATTTAATTTCCCCTCTGTGAGGACAATCTTCATGGACTGAGCCTTCTAGGGTCTGGACATCAGTTTTTCAAACAAGGAATCCAGTTCTGGAAAATGTTTATGTCTAGCAAAGGCAGGAGGCTCCAAGGCTGGTAACGGCAGCCAAAGGTTGTAGCATGGGAATCAGGGAATAAGATTGAGGAAGGCAGCCAGCTCCTCCAACTGGAAGCTTTCCCTAATAAACCATTGCTTTTCTGACCAGAGTGTTAAAAAGCAGAAATCTTTTGGTGAAGTTAAATAAGTATATATTTATCTTCTCCTTAACCTGCACAGATTGGAATTATACCTATGCATGGCTTACTTATTTAAAATGTGAATCCTGTTAAATTGCATGGAAGCTGTACAGTAGTCAGCTCCATAGGAGTGCATGAGTTAACACAGACACAGGGCCTTGTCCTGCCAGATGTGGCACCAGCTTCCCTTTGGCACTGCTTACTCGATGCTTTGGGGTTTGCTGCCAAGTATGTGTCTACTCCTACGAGGTGCTGAGGCCTTCCTAAAACATTTTCAGAGTGAGGACTGAACCTTTCAGAGCCTGTGTGTTGTTACAGAGAGTTGATCACTTAAACTTCAGATAATGGATAAAGGAAATCTCTGTCAGGCTTCCTGGTTTTTAGTGACCTCTGTTAGTTCTCTCAGAAGCGTTATTACGTGGCCCCTTGAAAGATGAAGCACATATAAGCATTTGTCTGTGATGCTCTTTGTGATTTTGCTGTAAACAGCAGTATTTGTGGCCACAGCTTACCTGGAATATGATAGGGAAAATGTGAATTAGTTTTGAAAAATAATGGACAAAATTGCTCTTCAATGATGTCATGTAGAGCTTGGCTGCACTATAAGTGAAGAATTGCTCCCCAACCCTCCACAAATTTTTGCCAAATCCTCTGTTTAGGATCTGGAAATAAAGTTAGATTATAATAGGTTCCAGAACTAGTACTAGCTTTGGTGAACAAAACTTGTTACATCTAGATATCAAAATAGTTGGTAAGTGGCCAGCACAGTTCCTTTCTCCTTGTTAACAATAACACTTGCACACAACCACATTTTCTTTCCATTTAAATCTGTGCACCAAAAATCCTGTTATTAAGTGGTCTTCTCCCATTGAGTTTTATCATGGAAGAGATAATTTATAATACTACATCTATCAAAGACAGCACATCATCAACTCTTAAGTTGGTTATTTGCAATTCATTGGTGTGATCATATCTGTGGCCGCATATCTAAACCGTATCCTTTGATTCCCACATTTTGTAAGGAAAGCAATTACCCAAGGCTGTTGTTCATCATCTGCAGTATGTGTAAAATGCACCATAAATTAGTTCTGAAGTGAAAGAGTGACTAGAATCATAAGTTTCATTTTTATTAAGCTATACTTCTTTCAGACCTAAGCATCAAATACTGCATCTTCATTTCAGTAGAAAACCATCTCCTGCATCCTCAATTGTATGTGCTGCATCATGCTTCAAACTGCAGATATATTTATGAAGAATTATATGCACTTGTTAATTTTAGCTTAAAGACACGTATGCCAATTCATTATTCTGCAAAGAATTAGCTGGCTTGCTGTTGCTTCTGTCTCTTATACATTATGCAGAGGTGATGGATGTTCTTAGCATAACTCAGCAAGTAGGTGTAGGTATTACTGTGAATGACAATCTCAATCAGAAAATTGTGTAGGGTAAAACAAGTTTGCACGAAAACTCAAAATTGCCCATTGAAAAAGTAAAACAGCAGCCTCAACAGTTATTATACCTCTAATATATTTGCTGTCACTTCATAGTCTCAGTAGCCTGTTTGCAATAAAGCATCGTTTTCTTAAAACATGTAGATAAGAAAAGCACACTTCATTTTAATTGATGCAAGCAATCACTCAGAATTTCTTGAAATGTGACCATATTTATTTTCCCCACTGCTCATCCAATATTTCTTTTTATTTACCCAACAATTATCATCTCCCCAGTATCAATCACACCTAACCTGCTGTCACAAAAAATCTTGAGCTGCAGCCATGTCTTGGACACGTTCTCTGTGACATGCAGGTTGCATTTGTCTAATGACAGCATGTCTCCAATAGTTCACTTCTAAATAGCCATGACTGTGTTTTATCCTGACATGCAACATCTGTGTACTGCACAGCCATGTGCAAATGGGAGCTTTTGCTTTGCATTGAATATAGAGAATTTATGGGATTGTTGGTACTTAGGGGAAAGCATGACTCACTGAGATGATATCCAGTGTTGTAGACAAATACTCCTCTTGCACCTTTAGGTGGTATTGTTCCCACCATTGGGATGCTGTAGTGGGAACTCAGGAGCTGGAGGGTTTGAGTAACTAGCACTGTTTGTCACACTTTCAGCTAACTGCTGTAGGTTGTATTGAATTTCAAGCTGCAAATGAGAGGAAGTCCTATAGCAGTCTTATGGATTCCTTCAGTATTCAGGAATATAGAGTGTTTTACTTTTGAAGTGGAATATGTTTATTTTGTAAGGTACACATCAAGCTTGTTCTCATATAACAAGTCACTGTTTCACCCCCCAAAGTAGCACTGCACTGAGCTAAGACTAATCCAACTCTGAACACTTTTTTATGTTGCTTGCATAGACATGGCAATATTCCCACAACAACTGGGCTTGTTGGGCTATTTCTGTGCTCTGTGATATTTGTTTGGCATTTTCTATGCTTTTTAAAAAAATAATTTCATGTAGAATAGCAGGTAGATTATTTGAGAAATAGATATCAGTGTTTGTATAATTGGCTTGGTACATTTTCATTAATTTTGCACAGAGTACTGAAACTGGTTGAATTACAGAAGAGCAGGGGAATATGTGAGTAGTTTTTAACATGTCATCTTATGAAATAGTGCTGCAATATGTGCTGTTTTGTGTGCTATATATTTTCAATATGTGTTTTCATTGTAGA